CACCTGTCCTGTTTATATAACACTTTAAAAATCAGCAAAAGGGTTATATCAATAAAATTTATTATGAAACAAAAGGCAAAAAACTATTATGTACATAGTTTAGTCCTATTCGGTGTCTACTCGGCTCTTCTTGGCTTGTCTCTTGTATTCATTAAATGGAGCATCTCTTGTCACTATCCAGCAATAGTCTGCAAGCATTGATGGGCTCCATTTGCCCTGATAGCGTTTCTCCATTGTTGCAATGCAATCGCTCGCCATGCTCGTCGCTCACTGCTCCGCAGTTCGGTGGAAAAAAATCTAGATGAGAGTGCAAAAAATGTATCTTTAGTGACATGTTGCAACCAAGGCTTTTGTATGCCTTGAGGAGGTTTTCCACCAACAACCTGTAGCCACTAACTGGAAGGCTTTCCATGCCGTCCTTTCCTTGCCACACAGTGCATGATCAAATGCATCATCTCGAAGAAGTTCACGAATCTGAGGACCAACAAAGACACCTTCCTTTATCTTAGCTTCACTTAACCTTGGAAATTTTCCACAGAGGTACTTGAAAGCTGCTTGTGTTTTGTCAATGGATTTGACAAAGTTCTTCATCAGACCCAACTTGATGTGTAAGGGTGGTAACAAAATCTTCCTTGATTCAACAAGTGTTGGATGCTGAACACTTTTCCCCCCAGGCTCCAATGGCTGTCGGAGTGGCCAATCTTTCTTGATGTAGTGGGAATCTCTTGCACGACTATCCCATTTGCAGAGAAAACAGCAGTACTTTGTGTATCCAGTCTGCAGACCAAGCAAGAGAGCAACAACCTTCAAATGGGGGGAGTGTAACAGATCTTTTGAGGGTACAGGTTATACATAGCATACAGATTACTGCTGATCCTACACCACCACCCTCATCACCACATTGTTATGTCCTGGGGGCAAAAGTTTTAGGAAGAAATCACTTGAGACACAGAGAGCTGTAAACCTTAAAAGCTGCCATTTACACACTGAACTAACCAAAAACCAGACAAAACTGGCTGGGCTATCCCCTGATAATCTAACTCATTTACCATAGCAACAACAAGATTCTATTACTATGACAACCAAATACACAACAGCCAGCACAGTACAGGTCACACCAACATAATGTCAATGTACCCTGCACCTCTCCCACCCTCTCATTTCCCGTAAATGCTGGCCGAGGTTCCTCCCTTTCTCTTGTGATTTGGATAGACAGGCCTAGAGCTGATTAAACACCAGGGCTGGGCTCTGCCTTCCAATAAAAACAGCAACAGCCACAACCTCTGAGGCACAGATTGAATCTGGAAACTCCCCAAGTAACTCACAAGAAGGAGGCTGTTGATCTGCCACAGTCCCAGGTAAGTAGGTTCCCATTGCCCCTCAGCAATGCTTTCCGAGTGAGTCCACAGCTGCTGTCTTTGTGTAGGTTGGAAGGATGAGATTTTAATCAGGGAATGTCAACAAATGTCGATTTCATTGTGTGCACGCAGAAACTGACAAAACAATATTTACCTCAATAATAATCAACATTTACTGCTAGGCAGACTAAGAAAATGCTGCTTGAGAAATAGTTGGAATTCAATTAGAGGCAATTTACTTTGTATATTTTGGTAGCTAATGTTGACAATTTGTGTGATAGAGGCTACGGAGCTTTAACTTTTTGAAACTCAGTCTCTACTGTTGTTAAATAATTATTGGCTGACACCTCCACAATTTCCTGCAACTGTGAAAATTTTAATTGATAAAAATAGGAAAAAAACGCTTAAAAATAAACATCGATATTATCCATCTAAATTAAAAGAAACCCTCGAATTCTGCCAAGTCTATCTATGTACCGTTTCTGTCTCTCTAGCGACGCAGTCACCACAGTAGCTAGGCTCTGTCCTACGGGGGTGCTGCTAGTGACTCCATCCTTATTGTTCCACTTAAAGCAGGGCTAAAATCCCCACTGCCACGACTGAAGTTAGGCTCCAAATGTGGCCCAGTAACAACCCTGTAAGGGCAGCTTGAATGGCCGATGTGAAGTCCCCGGTAACCTCTTCATGGGAAACATCAGAGTGCTCCTAGAGACCAACCCTGCCGCTCGCATTCCCTGGGGTTCTTATAATGAGCTGTTCTCTGTGTGATCCAGCCAAGCGCAGGGAGCAGTCTGTGTATCTGAGCACGGGCACTGCCATCTGTGGAGCAGCTTTTCCCAGATGGGCTTATCCTGGCCCCATCAGGAGCAGCTTTTCCTGGTCCCATTGCAACCAGAGGCAAAACTCACCGTGACTGCACTGGGCCATAATTCCACCTCACGGGGGGCGATGTACTGGAGAGTATAAAATGGGGCTCCCTTTAGCACCCCCAGTTACCCCCAGTGAGACCTATTCTCACATCCCTGTCCCTCCCCCTAACATCCCCTTCCCCCATCCCCAGACCTCCCCCTAACACCCACTCACCCTTTGCCCCCCATGTCCCCAGACCTCCCGCTAGCACTCACTCACTCCCTGCCCTCCACATCTCCAGGTCTCTCCCTAGGAGCACAATGGGCTGGAGAGTGAGTGCAGAGGCCTAGTGAAGCTGAAATTGAAACTTCAGGTACTGGGCCGACCAGCTCTAGGGTTGCCACCTTTCTAATGGCTGGTAACCTGACTCCTGAGGCCCCTCCCCCACCCCACAACTTCCCTCAAGGCCCTGTCCCTGCTCCACCTCTTCCCCTAAGGCCCCAGCCTTGCTCCTCCTCTTCCCACCTGAATAAAAAAACAGACATCAGGGCTTCTTAAGTGGCACCTGGACACACAAGCAAAAACAGGTATCAGAGGGGTAGCTGTGTTAGTCTGAATCTGTAAAAAGCAACAGAGGGTCCTGTGGCACCTTTGAGACTAACAGAAGTATTGGGAGCATAAGCTTTCTTGGGTAAGAACCTCACTTCTTCAGATGCAAGTAATGGAAATCTCCAGAGGCAGATATAAATCAGTATGGAGATAACGAGGTTAGTTCAATCAGGGAGGGTGAGGTGCTCTGCTAGCAGTTGAGGTGTGAACACCAATCGAGGAGAAACTGCTTCTGTAGTTGGATAGCCATTCACAGTCTTTGTTTAATCCTGATCTGATGGTGTCAAATTTGCAAATGAACTGGAGCTCAGCAGTTTCTCTTTGGAGTCTGGTCCTGAAGTTTTTTTGCTGTAAGATCTGTTATTGTGTGGCCAGGAAGGTTGAAGTGTTCTCCTACAGGTTTTTGTATACTGCCATTCCTGATATCTGACTTGTGTCCATTTATCCTCTTGCGTAGTGACTGTCCAGTTTGGCCAATGTACGTAGCAGAGGGGCATTGCTGGCATATGATGGCAAATATAACATTGGTGGACGTGCAGGTGAATGAGCCGGTGATGTTGTAGCTGATCTGGTTAGGTCCTGTGATGGTGTTGCTGGTGTAGATATGTGGGCAGAGTTGGCATCGAGGTTTGTTGCATGGGTTGGTTCCTGAGTTAGAGTTGTTATGGTGTGGTGCGTGGTTGCTGGTGAGAATATGCTTAAGGTTGGCAGGTTGTCTGTGGGCGAGGACTGGCCTGCCTCCCAAGGTCTGTGAAAGCGAGGGATCATTGTCCAGGATGGGTTGTAGATCACTGATGATGCGTTGGAGAGGTTTGAGCTGAGGACTGTAGGTGATGACCAGTGGAGTTCTGTTGGTTTCTCTTCTGGGCCTGTCTTGTAGCAGGAGGCTTATGGGTACACATCTGGCTCTGTTGAGGTGAAAACTGGGCATCACTAACTGGCTCATTCCGGAGAAAATCAAACCTGGGTTAACTGTGGGGAGTTGTTTGAGGCTGGAGTTCATCAGTTATGTTTCGGAAGCCTGTCAGAATGTGAGGCTTTGCCAGGGCATCTGAAGGTCTCTGAGCCACCCTCTCCCAAGGGATGCAGGAACTGCTCGCGTCACGACAGGGAGGTTTAGCAGATGTCGCATACAGTCCCGGGTTACCTCCACTGTAGTAGCACGAGGAGTTCCCCATGTGTGTTTTTAGCAGCAGTGAGGTGTTGTGCAACTTCACCTCCTTAAATCATCTCTGATCATCCTATTGGAGAGCACAGACCCAGCAGCGTGTCTGTTAAAAGCTATTTTCAGTCTTTCTCCTTCTGCTTGCAAGGGAATCCAAATAACACCTTTTTATTGTCTTCTAAATGAAACAGATGCATAAAGAGGCTGCTAGGGCTGGTCAGAAAATGTATATTACATCCTAAGAAAAATTTTTGAGATTTCAAAATCAAACAAAAGAAAAACTTGTCCTGAATTGGGGCAACATTTTAATTTTTTTTTGCTAAACGAAACTCTGAAAATAACATTCAGAATTTGGATCAATCAAAATGTTTCATTTTGATACATTCAGAAGCTTTCATTTCAGTTATGACCATTTTTTTTACTTTTTTAATATAAAATGAAATAGATTTAGAAAGGAAAAGCCATTTTACAAGGAAAAATCAAAATGATTTATTATGAAAATGTTGAAACTGGGTGTTTTGAATTTTTTTCCCCAATTTTTTTTTTCAAAATGAAATTTAACCAAAATCTAAATGAGTTCGTGCAAAATGTTGGTTTTGTCCAAATGGCACTTTCTGAGAGAACACTGGTTTGACATAAACTTCCCAGCCATCTGCAACAGCATTCTGTGTAGATGACACATAGAATATCAAGGTTGGAAGGGACCTCATCTAGTCTAACCCCCTGCTCAAAGCAGAGCCAATCCCCAGACAGATTTTTGCCCCAGTTCCTTCCTCAAGAATTGAATTTACAACCCTGGGTTTAGCAGACTAATGCTCAAACCACTGAGCTATTCCTCCCCCTGACACTAATCAATCTAAAATCCTCTGGAGTGCCCTCATGAGACAGGGATTGTGCATTTTGCACTATCCTCCACATTTGTAGTGTCTGCCCCAATTAGTTGCACTTTCCACAGCTTGTGAACTAGAACCAACAGTCGTTTGCATCATGAGACTGTTTGCTACAAGGAAAGCAGTCTTTGAGTGTTCGCCCGGTTGTGCTTTCTTCTTAAGCTCCTGCTTTATTTGTTGTACATGATACTGTTTCCGCTTCCTGGCATCTTTAGTAGGTGCCTCCATTGATGCATCAATTTCCAGTGCACATTTTAGGGTCAATCAGCCTCGGTCAATAATCATTCTTGGGTTGCTTCATTTTCCTTAGGATTGTCCTGGAGTCGCCAGGAGTTAAAGATTAATCATTAATTAAAGATTATGTCATGTGATGAAAGCTCCAGGAATACGTCCAGTCAAAACTGGCAACCCTACGATCTCATAATCCATCAATTCACCTCCTCCCCTCTTGCAATGCTCTGCTAATTTCCTTGGTCCAGC